CTTAACCCAAAAACACATCCATCATGGGTGAATTTGGATCTCGAAAGCAAAACATAAAATGCTCCTTTTCCTTCTCTTTTTTCCTGCTCAATTTGCAATGAGACGTTTATAGTCTCTTAAATATGCATGTAAATGTGATGTGCCAATTTGGGATCAATAGCCTATTGAATAGGAATAAAAAAATGTCTTGAAGCAAAAAGAATGTCATATACAAGTCTTCATCATAAGCACTAAAAAAGATTAATGAAAAATGGCAGAATCATAAAATCACCAGCTTTTCAAGCCCAAGCCCTTCTTTATGGTAGAAAAGCGACAGATGAACTTTCATGGATGAATACTAACCTTTTCATAATGAAAAATTAATTTTTCTTAACCACAAAAAGAATCCTATTGCATAAAAAGCATGTCTATTTTTGATTGGTCTAAGTTTCTCATTACCCTAAGCCAAAGGGCAGTAGATCTCTTTATCTACCACATGGGCAAAGGAACTGAAAGTAAAATCTGAGCTAGACAAGGAGCAAGTCACAAAGATCATCATACTAACCGTTCAAAGTCATCTGAGTAGCCATATATCTTCTCACGACTGAAAAATAATGAGTAGTATAATGGCTGAATCAAAGTAACTCCGATTCCATAGACAACACTGAATAACAAGCGTACGATGTAAAAACAAAGCTATAAGCATAATAAAAGAACCACACTGCAAATTGTGGTTCTGAATCAAATTCTTCCCAAGTACTAAAAGAAAATCCAAACTAACAGATAATTGCAGCATAAATATGCAACCAGTACTCACCCAGTCCAGATTCTGTTCCCATGCAATTGACCATTAAAATATGAATAAGCCTCTGCATCAATTTTGTGCAGCCCTTGAATTTCTTCTAGCTCGAGGCTTGTATACCTATTAGGAGAATGGAATATCTCATGTTAATCAGAGACCATATGCTCAATAAAACAATTTTGGTAAAAACTACCTTTGAGCATAAAGTAGTTCTCCTATTAGATTACAAAGAATGTTTTACAATTAACTTGTGCATAACATGTTTTCTCAAACCAAGTTATAATCTCACAAGATTTAGCATAAATCTCAATCCAGTAACGAGTTAGAGTTTAAGGCTATAAACCAAGAAGTGTGTGAGCTCCGATGGTTAAAGATAAGTTTGAAAGACTTGAAGATTCAGTGTGATTGACCTATTATCCTCTGTTGTAATAATAAGTCAACAATTAACATCAGTCACAGTCTTGTACTATATGACAGGATGAAGTACATTGAATTTGATCAACATTTTATCAAGGAAAATCTGAATAGCAGATTGACATGCAAACCATACATGTCTACCACTTTTCAACTTGTGGATGTATTGACCAAGGAGTTGAGTAATCCTGAATTTCAGACTACTATTGGCAAATTTGAAATGAATAATATCTATTCACCAGTTTGAAGGGTAGTATTAGGAAATACATTTATATAGTAACTATGACAAATTGTATGTTAGTAATATACCCATCTCATGTAATTAACAGTGTTTCTTTTTATTATTTATAAAATCCATATATACGGGGTCTTATTATTCAATAAAATTCATACTTCTTTCTCCATAAATTGCACATAAGAATTCCTAATATTGGCATGATTTCCTAAGCATTTGAAGGGCATTTGCTACAAATCCGGGATCAACAACAAGAAATTACATAGTAAAAACAACATATGAACATTGCCATCACAAATTAACAACAAATGAAGAATACTGTGACCAAAATTCTGAAGATATTTCATGGACTAAATAAGAAAAGTCAGGGCAGGACCAAGTCCAAAACCAGAATATAGTACTACAAATTTTAAGCAATTTCATTTTCTTTCAATTTTTTAATGGGTAAAAAGAAATTTGTGTTATGGAAACACAGTTCATAAATGAAGAATCGGCAAAGTCTTAAAAATAAAAGATGGGTTTTATTCATTACTTCGGCAAAATAACCTCCACAAGGTGTCCTTTTCTTTGCAGTGCACGAGATAACCCTGCTACATACAATCCCAAGGATCCAACACTGACCAATGGTGCCATTTCCGCGCAAACATGGACAATGTGAAATGCATTCCTGAGATAAAATGAGAAATAACTTGTTGCTTGAACAAACAGAGTCCAAAAAAAAAGTAAAGATAAAGATAAAAGCAAGATACTGTAAATGATTGAGATAACATGGTGCCTATGGAAGTTCCCTTAGAAAATTGCAGCATAATTCTGGTTATGAAATGCGGGTTTGTACTAATCATATTCAAGTATATCGGGATTATTTCCAGACAGTCCAATTCTTATCCATCAAGACCAATACCTGTTAGTCTCATCATGGAAGTGCACATCACTGCCATAGTTCACACATCCAAAAATTCACTAGGGTTCAGAAATTATTCTACCAAATAGGCCATGCAGCCATAAATCATTTTCAGTTTAAAAAACTTCCTTCCATGGAAAAAGGTGAATTTTAACACATGCAGATATGAAAAGCCATACTGTATACTTAAACAGACAAATAAGAGAACATATAAATGATGCATGCCAGTTTTAGAAATTCAAAATATATAAAACTAGAATCAGTACATTTTTCTACCAGTTAAAAAGTAAACAGATGCAAATGAGTAAGTAAATAAATAAATAAGGTGACATTCACATTTTATTTCTAACTCTATCTCTATGTATGCAATTTCCTCCTATGTGTTCGTACTATTCCTTCTGTGTGTGCCAGTTTTATGTGTCACCATCAATACCATATTTCTTTACGACCTTAATTATAGTTCAATACAATTAATAACAAGTCCTTAAGACCTTAATTACAGTTAATTGCTAGCAACTTCTGCTGGAGCTTGCAAACCAATTGCCCTATACTCCTTGATGGAGCTTAAGTGGGTTGGATCCCATTCCTCTTCATATCCCAGGAAGTGTCCCGTTAAAATGACCTGCCAAAAACAGGAAACTAATAGCAAGTTCTGCTCAGTGATGTTACCTTTTGCTTCTATCTGAGAAGTACTGACGGAGTTCTGATAGAATCTGAGCATCTCTTTTCATTAGCATGTCAGGGAAAACATCAGCTATGCCATCTTTTTGTTCTAAAGCCTGTCTTCTCAAATCATAAGCCTCTTCCTTGTTAATCAAGCCAGTGAGGACCATTGAGTCTATACGAAGAAGCAACTCCCAGAACATTGTAAGCTTATCTGGTCAATGTAGACAGAAAGATATAATCTTGAACTTTGATTGTCAATTGTTTCAAACAAAATCTTCCTTTTCTTAAGAAAATTAACGTTTAAGGGAAAAACAAAATCCAAGGAAAATGGGCTCAAAACATTTTTTCTAAAAATTATTAACTAAAGTGTGCCGAGAAGATATTGTCAAATCCCATAAGCTTTCACATGTCATAAAGAATGGAAGAACTACTAAGTTGCAACTTATCGCAATTCTTTACTTCAGCCAACAAAGTTTCCAGGAAATACAACCTTTTCTGGCTTCTTTCTTCTTTTCTGCCTCTAGTTGATCTATCCTATCCAGCAACAATTGTTTCTCCTTGTTTGATTTGCTCAGCTCCTCAATAGCCATAAGCCGTTGTTTGTTCAAGTAAAGAATGTCTGAAAGCCATCAACAATGAATAATACATCCCTAATGCATATCACATGAACTAAACCAGTGATTATGTGTAATAGGAAGGATGTAAAATGGTTCGAAGATAAACATATTAGAAATGTAATTAACTTTTTTGAGCTTCAGTAAAGAGTTGCCATATATCATTTTGTTTTGCTTCTGATTCAGTATTTGGTGGCTGAAAATTCTCCTGTAAATAAAAACATATTTCCCCCATTAAAAACATAGCCTAGTCAAAGAAAAGGTATATAATGACAGATTACCTGAGACGGATCCGCATTTTCATGCTCCTCTAACCTGGAATTTGAACATATTCATATGCCCATGCTTACAGGAACTTTGTACATGTGAACAAAAGAAAAACTTAAATTCATATTCAGGAACCAAAAAAAGTACCCTTCCTCTGCAGTTGCTCTAAATAAACCAGCTATCTTCTCATTTGTCCTGCAAAGAAAGATTGACAAAAGATTTACCAAGTTTCTGCATCCCTCATGATTGATACTGTAAGGTGAAATAATTTTCCTTCAAGAGAAGGGCTGAGCCATCTTAAATTAGATAATAAGTGGTAGACTAAATTCAAGCTTTATGATATCAAAAACGTCATGACGAATTGTTGAGAGAAGAACCTAACCAGTAATGAAGTTAGAGTTTCTCCGGTTTCCATTGAATTGTTTATCATTATGAGAGACACACCGATCAAGCAAACCAACTACTTCTGGCTGAAATCTAACACTCAAATCTGAAGTTCTAATTTACTGCACAAGCCATTCTTTGATGTTTAAGAGACACAAAATAGTTACGAGTAGGACACCCCTGCGTCAACTTCACCTTGAGGCACATACATATAAACAAGCATTTCATAAAATTGGAAAGCGAGAAATGAGAGTTTAGTTGGGATTTAACAAGCTAAAATCTCTGAAACTGCGCAGAAAATAAACTTCATGAAATCTTAGAAATTTCACTTCCTTTCAACTCAGATCAGCAAACGGCGTCGTAGCAGAAAATAAACAACAAAAAAAAAAAAAGAGGAGGTAATCTAGTGTGACGAGCATAAGCAGCAAGTTAGCACCAGAAACAATTTAACCAAAGAAAGAGAACTGGAAGCTTATAATGGCTAATCAAATACCCGATTAAGTGAAGGTCAAAGCAAATGTAGAATATAACCGAGGGTCAATCCATTGAATATACCTCAAGTAACAAAGCGAACGAGGCTTAACAGGTTTCTGAACTAGTGTTTGGGGTTTTAGGGGACCAGGAGGCCAAAGGATCGCGGCGTTCATCAGAGTCAGCGTTACCATCTTCTTCACAACCTTGCGGATACGGAGAAGACGAATCTTTGATGGGAAAAAACTAGATTGCTTCTTTATGACAACCGTTTATCTTGAGTTCTTCAACATACCAATACACGCCGACCAAGTATGCGCCTCCTGGTGTCCCACTTTCGTCCATGCCTTTCATTTTCATATTACAATAACACCATTGTGCTCTCCTTTTTAGTTGTCTTTTTCCTAAATCCTTTTTTTCTATCTTCTAATATTCAGATTCTTTAAAAATAAAATTGCATACGATAAAAGGTAAAGTGTTAATCAAATAAATTTTGTGCACTGAATTGAATAATGTTACACATTATTTAATTGGTGCAGTAATGTAAGTAACAACATAAATCAGCTAAATTGATATCTATTTCATTTTGTATGGAACTACCATTTTTTGACACACCGTTAACTCAACATTTATTGGATGAGATTGAATTTGTAGCCTGTTAAAAAAACAAAAACAAAAAAAAAAAACAAAAAAAAACCCAGAAGAGCACAAATGGCAGCAACTAAGCTACAACTACTATACCCAAAAAGAAAAAGATTACACATCTAAATTTTGACAATATCTTCCTATGACCCATGAATAATTAATATCCCACTGAGAGCACAAAAGACTCCTAAGGAGAGTAAGAGATCAATCGGAACCAAGGTTTTTAACAAGCCTTCCGAGACCGAGAAAGATAAAAAGCCTGAACAATTAGTGATGGCTCAGCTTGCGCTTCTTCGCCAACTTTCTCATTCGCTCTTGCCGCTCTTCTTCCTCTATCAGCCGTAGTTGTTCCTCATCTTCTTTTTTCGCAATTTTTGAACTGTATCACAACGTAGAAAGGGCTTTAAAACAAAGAAATCATACTAGGATACCCAAACAAGTAAAAGCAAACGGCAAAACAATAAACCTATGGTTGTTTTCAGAAAACTTCAAATCCCAGTCCAAGACAAGCGCTCAGAGAACAGAAGAGGAAACACTTCAAAGATAACTATCGTGTAACATTTAATAAATGCTAACCTTCT